CTTTACTTGTGAAATATTTGTACTTGATTTTCTGTGAAACACTTATTTATCATTCTTTGCCTGTCTTTCTTTTGAGCTGTTTGCCTTTTTCCACTGTGTATTCTTGCATTCAGCAAATATATATTCAAGTTCCTACTATGTGATGAGTACTGTGCTGGGCCTAAGGGCTATAAAAGGGAGGGAACACCACTGTCTCTGCCCTTTTGGAGCTTACAGTGTACTGGGAGGCAAACATTAATCAAATAATTCTCTCGACGGGTATATGTAGAGTTTAAAGGCCTTCGGGGAAAGGCTCTCGATCTCTTAGAGCACACGAGAGGAGGGACAGGCCTGCATGGGGGTGGGAGAAGACGTCCCTGGGGAAGCTGACATATAAAGAATGAATGGGATATGCAGTTTAGGGTGGGGGAGCATCTCTGGAAGAAGGGGCATCACTGTGGAGGGAACATGATGTATTTATGGGAGCAGAGCACAGAGAGAAGAAGAACAGGGACACAAGATGAGGCTGGGGCTACAGCACCTGGGGTGGGGCCACTAATGACTGGGTTTGGGTTTTTTCTCCTAGAACAATAGAAAGCCATTGAAGGATTTTGAGCCATAGTTGGTGATCTAATCTGCATTCTGAAAATATTGTTCTGGCTGAAAAGAAGAGAAACAGGAAGACCAATTAGGTTTTTTGAATAGTCCAGATGAGATCTCATGGTAGCTTGGCCCTGGATTATGGCAATGGACATGAAGAGAAGCAGATGGGTTCAAGAAATATGGACAGGGCTAAATAAAATTTGATGATCCCTTAGACAGAAGGGATAAGGAAGGAAGGAGGGATCCGGGGTGATTCTTGGGTTTCTGATTAGGTGGTTGGTGGTACCATTTACCGAGATAAGAAACATCCAAAGAGGCCAGGGATGGATTCGGTCTTAGATAGGACATCCAAGTGAAGTTGTCAAGCAGGCAGTTAGGTATACAAGTTTGGGGCCAGAGGCAAAGTCTGGGCTGGAAACGTAAATTTGGAAGTCATTGGTATATAGAAATTGAAGTCATGGGCATAGATGAAATTGCTCGTGAAAGGAATACGGCACCCAAGGTAGGTCTGCTCTTACTCCTTAAGGAACTCTAATCTTCAGTGGCTGAGTACAGAAAGATGAGACAGAAAAGAAAACAGAGATGAACAGCCCGAGAGCAGGAGGAGAGCACCCTGAGTGGGAAAGTGTTTCAAATAGGTGCTGCGGGGACGTCTGGGAAGAGGAAAAGTGCCCACTGGATTCAGCAACACGGAGTCTTTGTGACATGAGTTGGAATTTCTTCAATAGAGTGATGGGGACAGGAGCCAGGTTAGAGATGGTTGAAGAACCAGAGGGAAGTGAGAAAATGTAGATACCACGCAGACACTCTCAGCAAGCCCTGAACCTGTCCTTCCTGGTCTCCACCCTTATCCCTGCCTTGCCACTCAGTAAGCTGACTTGATTTTACAACCCAGCATTCAGAGTTCCACAGCTGGGCCCTCTTTGTAGCCATAGCAACCAACCAGCCAGGGACCGAGTCTGCAGGGGGATGTCACCTCGAGTTTGGAGACTCTCCTGCCCCTTTGAGCAGCTTCTGATTTAACCTGGTCCCTGGGAGGGCTTCTCGTAGAAATCTGCTGAAAGAGGGTTTAAGGAAAAAAAAAGAGTTCTTCTATTTTAGTGACACCTATTGAAACATGCAAGGATGGGCCGGCCCGGTGGCACACTGCTACAGTGCGCCGCTTGGGAAGCGCTGCGGCACTCCCACCGAGGGTTTGGATCCCACATACAGACCGGCCGCTCACTGGCT